TGCAGGCTACTAAACATATGGCCCCTATATGACTAACCATCCTGCGAGATGGGGACTTTTATTACCACTGCTACCTTATTTACTCTTGTGTTGATGATATCCTCAAAATGCATCCGGAGTCTGCCAGTGTAGACTGCCTATCCCATCCCTCTGTATGACTAACCATCCTGTGTGATGGGGATTTTTTAGCATCACCTAGTTAGCTTTTTTGACACACTGTACTCCACTTCATATAGTCTAGGGTAGCTGCACAAATGCAGATGTATCTCATGTATTAATAAAAACAATTGTTACTACCTTTAGTAAAATCAAGTTTACGGGTGTCGATGTGTTAAGCCTTGGGGTAAAAAGGTATCTTAGTTTCAGATATCAGAAACGCGAGTCGACCCGTATTTAACCAAAACATAAATAACCAAGCGTAATCTTATATGCGTCACTGTAGACGCTTGTGATATCCAAAAAGTGTGTACCAAGCGAAACTAGACAAAACAAACTGGTTCGGAATTAGGTTCCAGATCTGTGGAACAAGTTACCAGGTAGTATAGTATTGAAGAAAACTCGCCGGAAAGTTGGCTATAAATAGGAGCTGCCTCGTATGAACCAACAGGCCCTGTGTGCAAGATTTCTCCCTCGTGTTCTTTCCTGCTATCCAATTGTTGACGTCGGATTCCTGTGCTGTTCCATTATTAAGATGATCATTCTTAACAAGAACTAATCGTATCTCATCCTATCCTGCCATAAAATTGTCAAAAATGAAAATGTCATTTAATATGTAGGCTGCCATTACTGGTCGATACTTAGATCCGTGGTATATGATCACTGCCCCAACAATAAAATATATTTTCTTCATAATGTTTTTTGTATTATTATTTTTTTATTTATATATACTAGGGTTCTTACATTCTTGTAAAGCCACTAGCACGCATAGCGTTTCGGGCAGGTCCTTAATCCTAATTTTCCCTGGAATACGACCCGCCAAATCGTTTAACAACCAGGTACCCATTCACTGCTGGGTGAACAGAGGCTATAGTTAAGGATTGGCGCCCGATCAATCCTCCCCGGCCAGGATACGAACCCAGGCCGACATTTCTTAGAGTTTTATTAACTTAGAACTTAGAACATTAGGAACTTACGTTGTTCCTAATGTGGATGGGTCTACAACCTTTCCCGGTGATGTTATCAGTGTTTCAGTCATACGAGGGAGGTTAGGCAATTTATAAGGAGAAAAGCGCTATAAGCCAATGTGCTAGGTGAAAATTTACTCGAGAGTGTAAGGATATTCAAGGTGTAGGCTTTAACGCCTACATTTCTATATACATATTCCATATATTTGTTCTATATATAGATTTCTATGTATTCTGTATATAAATTCTATATCTATATATTTAGATATATTTACTTTTTTACATTCTGTATAATGGTGGGGCGCCTAGGCTATCAAGCTATATACGCGTTTCACATTCATAATGACACATTCTCTTAGTTGCAGTATTTAAAACAAAAAAACATAAATAGGGAATTTATACTAACATTTAAAATATATTTAACTAATTATACAAGTAAACTGGACTAAAAATGAAACTTTTATAAGGACAGTACATAGAATACGATTAACATTGGGTAATATTTCATGGAAAATCAAATTATATATCAACAAAACCCATCTACACCGTCAATATGCTACATATCATCGATCACCCTTGAAATAACACATTTGTCAAAGGTAATGATCCGTTCCCCTTGTTTTCTGTTTATAATAAAATATTTTCCCCTTGACCTCCCTCCTTGCTACAGGCACTTGACTACTCACCACCGCTACTCCGGCGACGCCCGGTCGGACCGCCCAGACCCGCAGCAGGAGGATGGTGACCCCAGCAACGACGTGGTTAGTGCAACTTCCAATTTCGTCTGCTTCGGTTCCCATTGGTGGGCGCACGAAGCCTGTTGGGCTTATCGAGAGTCTAATCCTAGCCAAGGATGAGTCTTGTATGCGCGAGGGGTTGATATTGGTTTACCGTAGTTCACTTCCGCCTCACACACTGAGGTTGAATTCTTTTGATGTCACTATTTTGTCACAGATTGTCACTATTTTGTTTCCTTTTTCGATACAACGACACACGAGATCACGTCCGCGTTGTCTAGTGTCCACGAGGCAACTGATAGCTGTTTTCACGTATAGTTTGAATAAGAATACCGTATATATTTCGAGGCTTCATTTCTTTTATAAATATATATATGTATATAGTATAATATAACGTCAAACACTATATTAATGACTTTTTTAAGATCCTCGCGACTAGCAATATACAGATCGTGAGACTAGGCTGTCCACGATTAAAATTTCTTCCTTTTTTTTCAACAAACATTTTTGTTCAAGTATAAACTTAAAATGTTGTTGAATTATTATTTTCACCCAAGAGCTCACCGGAAATGCATTAGTTGATACTACAAAAGGAAGAAGTACTTAGAATGGGCTGCATGAACGTTTTCTCCACAGCCTCGTGATGCATAAGTGTAGGGAAAGCTAATGGTGTTTGCTTATTAATTAAGGGGGCATTAGATTAGTTTTCTAAAAGTTGTTCAATGTCATGTCAACCAATATTTTTTGACTAGTTGTATATGAAAAGGGCTGCAATTGTTCTAAGTTTCAGTACTGCAGCCTAAATAGAAAGGGAGATTTAACTGCTATACTATATTATTACTAGCTTACTGACCAACGAGCAGCCCAGTAGGAACATGTTGGGCACACGACGATGAACCCACGTTACTCGAGGATGTTGCACCAGATGCACCTCGACCACAACTCTTGCTAATTTCTGTACCTGTTATAGAATATGAAAATTTAGCTGGAAATGA